CACAGATTTTATTCATTTTAAAATGTAAACTATAATTTAATTAACATTGAAATTCTTACTGTGTGTTTATTTATAACATATTCTCTAGTAATTCATCACCGACCAGCGCTGCGCGCCCCCAGGTCTGTTGTGAGATATCAACTCACTGAAGACAATGGTGTACGGTTGCGCAACTTCGTGGATTGGTTGAAGTTAGATATTAACACCATTGGATGCCTGCCGGCTTAGTGGTATAGTTGGTTAAGCCTCTGGCGCGAAACTGATAGGCCGTGGTTTCGAATCTCGCGGGGTGCAGGATCGTGGATGTGCACTGCTGAGGAGTTGCATACTGAGATGAAACGGCCGTCCAATGCTTCCAGGTTTTCCATAGTGGTCTAGCATCAATTGACTCATGATTTCAATCAGTGAACTTTCTAAAATCTCCACAAAACCCCCCCTTCTGATTTTTTCTTGTCATAATTTTTCGTTTAATCACTACTGAATTTAAAAACAAAATTCATTTAATTTGTTTATTCATTTTAAAATGTAAACTATAATTTAATTAACATTGAAATTCTTACTATGTGTTTACTTATAACCTATTCTCTAGTAATTCATCACCGGCTACCGCCGTGCGCCCCCCTCCCTCGCTATACACTTGAATTTTTGTCACCGATAGTAATATTGTATGAAATTTTCGATTTTTTTGCTAGAATTTTTCCATTTTTCTTTTTAATGACAGTTAGGGGGTGGTTAAGGGGTAGTAGTAGTAGTAGTAGTAATAATAATTAGGCAGATTTGTACTATGACACGTATATATTAGTTGTAATAATAGTAATACATATCTAATTATCAGAAGGGGTTTTGTGGAGAATTTAGAAATTTCACTGATTGAAATCATGTATCAATTGAAGTTAGACCACTATGGAAAACCTGGAAGCACTGGACGGCCGTATCTAATTGTAATGATGTGTATAATGATAAGAAATACATTGAAGCATGAAAAATAAACTACATGACATTTATTGATGATTCTATGTGTGTGTGTGTGTGTGAAGTTTTTCAGGAGCAATGATATAAGGTGAGAGTAAAAGGTGAAATGATGATTCGAATAGTACTAGTCATCTATTGATATGAAAATCAACATGTACAAAATAGTGATAATTAGATTAGATGAAGAAATACAACGTAATTTTGTAGTGAGACATCAACGTTATCTTTATCTGTAGCTGATCAATAGCATGTTATGTAATTTAGTAATAATAATAATGGTCATTACTATACATCTCTACTGTTTACAGAAGTATGAATTCTATAAAATAAGATCCTGAAAATTAATAATGGGAAAACATCAACCTGTTTGAATAGATATAATAATATAGATATGATACTTGTCGAATAAGTTGGTGACTGTCTTGGCTCGGTAGTAATTCATTAGATAACTTCAAGGCTTCTAAAGTGATGGTTATCGGATTCGAGTCACAGTATGAATATCAACGCTAGGGGTACTTACTTACGCCTTTTACCCCTCGTGTGATTGTGTTAGTGTTCTCCGTATTGTTTTTGAGCATCTTGCTTTTTCCTTTTGTGTATGTTGAGGCCTACTGCTGAAGAGGTGGAGGCTGTTGCTTCATTGTTTGTTTTGACCTGTATTTGTTGACGTGTATGGAATAGAAAAACCAAGTCACCTGTGAAGTCCAAATCATCTAACTGTATACAACTTGCCCATTTTATTCCGTGCTTCCCGTCAAATGTGAAGGTATTCATAATCCAGTCAACCACCAGAAGAAAAAGAAATGGAAAGAGTAAGCAGACTTGTCTGGCTCCGGTCCTCAATTCGAGTGCATCTGTCCTCCATGCGCGACTTTGCATTGTGGTCCGTCGTATGAATTCCGTATGAGGTTGGCGATTTTCTCAGGTACTCCATAGTGTCGAAAGGTTTTCCCATCCACACTGTAAAATGCTTTCTCATGATCAGCGAAGTTTATGTATAGTGACGAGTTCCACTAAACTGATTGTTCGACGATGATCCGTAGTGTCACAATTTGGTCTGTGCACGGCCGATCCTTCTGAAATCCAGGATGATAATCTCGAAGTTAGGCGTCTACTGAGTCTTTCATCCGGTTCAGAAACACTCTGCTGAAAACTTTTCCTTGTACCGACAGTAGTGTGGTACCTCTGTAGTTTTCATATTTGCTCAGATCTCCTTTCTTTGGAATCTTGATTAGGTGTCCTTCTTTCCAGTCCATCGGCACTTGTTCCTCCTCCCAAATCTTCTTGAATAAAAGGTGATGCATGTTTGTAGTTGATTCCATGTCTAACTTCAGTGCCCCAGCTGGTATATTATCAAGTCGTTCCGCCCTCCCACTGTTGATATGTCTGGTGGCCATCCTGATTTCTTCGACTGTTGGTGGAGTGACATCTATTGGGTGGTCTGTGTGTGCTGCTTCGATGTCCGTTTGTTCCTCTGTTCCCGGATCTTAGTGGTTGATTTGTCTTCTTTTTTCTTGGCTGGTAACTCTGGTTTACCATATGTTCCTACTAGTTTTTTCGTTATATCATATAGTTGTCCCATATTTCCGATTTTGGCGTTTAGATCTCTCATTGGGATGGTTAGGTCCTTTCCAGGATGCTTCTCTATGGTCGATTGCAGCCTCTCATAAAACTTATGTTTATCGGATGCGTTGTCATCATTGGTGGGGGCATAACGTTGGATAACATTCATCATGATCCCCTCCTTCTTTGGTGATCCTGGGTCTATGAGATTCCCACATAATCAGTGCTTTACGTGATTCTTTGAACACCATTAAAGCAACTCCCTGAGTGTTTGGAGCATTTTCCTCTTTGTGACCGGAGTACAACAGCATCCCTTCCGAATCTATCCCTTTCTGTACAGCTTGGATTCAATGGGTTTCACTAATTCCAGTCTCCTACATTGTCCGAACACTCTACGTACTTGTTTTAATGGTTGCTCTGATTGTTAGACGAGACATCGGCCTCGTGACTTCCGAAGAATATTGGCTTTCATCATGAGGCGTCATAATTCTTTTGAATGGAGAATATTGCAACTCGGAAAACAAAGTTTAAATGGTTTAATTTTTTTATTTTGGTTAGCGTCATTTAACAAATGGTTGCTGACCCCATGTTCAAATCTCCTCACTTACCCAAAATTGGGGTCGACAGTAACCCTAGAAAAGCTACAGATAGAGTTCAATACAGTCTTATTACAGTATTTAAATCATCCATTACATCACTAACATTATTCGCTTGACATCCAGATATAGGGTACACTACCTTGAGTCATTTAAAATAGTGATCACATCTAAAACTGATCAAAAGATTACAATAAGCATTATGATTTAAATAAACATGACATTGGTTACCATTAATCAATGAGTAATAGGAAAACTTTCTAATACTAAACAATCAAAAGTCAACTTTAATCTAAATGAATGTGATCAAATCTATCATCATAGTAATGAAATATAAGATAAATGGTAGGAAGAGATGATTTCCTTTGATCGGAATGACTTTCCCACATTTCATTTATATACATAAGCCACAGACAATAAAGAAAAAATAGTTAATTTGTTGAACGTGATCAAAAGCATGTCTTATGAACACATAGACAATAGTTTGTCGCATTTCAGTGAAATAGAATCGGTAGAATAAAAACCATATGTCCTCTCAATGATTATAAAGTTATTCTTCCTTGTTGTTGTTGTTGTTGTTCATTCAAAGAATACAATACAAATTGATATCATATCATTATGAGACATTAAAGAAGTACGTGATTCTATGATGGATTTGTAAGTGTAATGTTTCTTGGATAGATCTAATGGACAAACATTTTTCTTTCCAACCTTACTTAATACTGTTTGATTTATTTACCGGTAAGAAAAAAAGAAATGAAATGTAGTTGTTTAGGAATGAGTTTGGTAAAGGATGAATGTTTGTAGGGTATACTACCTCTAATACTACTCTTATGGTGTGTGTGGTACTTATTTCGACATAAGTAGTATATGACGTGAGTCAGAAATAGAATGTCTGGTAGCAGAAGATTGAGAAGATCAAGAAGGAAAAAAACGGGAACACAAAGCAATCGGTATAGAAATGTAGGAACAATGAAGTCTGAGGCGATTGACTGATATTTACAAAAGGAGCAGTCAAATTTGAGACATTGGATTGATGTTTTGCAAATTAATTATTTTATTCACTATACTCTTACTGTAGTGAACCACAACAGAAGCGGTGACAATCAAACGCATTTGAATACAAAATTACAGAATCTCTTACTATAATTCTGAGAACTATACAGTGAATACTTCATTTGCAAAATATCAATCAATTGTGTCAAAGTTGATTGTTCCTTCGTTCATTTCTCTTCGATCATCTTGAACTTCTGCCGACAGGCATTTCACTTTCAATTGCTGATACATACTACTTATATCTGTCGACATCAGTGCCATACACCACAGCTATTTTATCAAGTAGTTCAACAAAATTCTAATTATAGTAAAGAATACAATAAAAATTGAAAGCATCGGGCTATTGTTTTATGCTAGATTGCGACCAGTGGATTTTAACCATTGTGATCAGGATATATCAACAATTTTCCATTGGATAGCGGGCTCAGTTGTCTGAGGTTTAAGCGCTCATTGCGTGATTTGAAGGTCCCGTGTGTGCTTTATTGTGGTATTATGAGTTATCATTGCTTTAGAATACATATTCTTTACAAAGAATAACTTCAGTTTCCATAAAGGTATATAATTACATGCTCACAATTAGTTGATTTATATATGTTCTATCAGTTAGTATTTATTCCATTTGGATTTAAAGATCATTTTCTTTAAGTTACTTCAGTTATATTCAGTATCTTATCAAATTAAGTGACCTATCACAACATTGTCATTTGTTATAATATGGATTACATATTACAATACAATGAGAATCAAAACACTTGAAAGCTAACACCCCATATCAGTGATGTAAGAGGAAAACTATTCAAACTGAGGAAAGTAATGTTAGAAACAATTCAAGTGTGTAATTAAAATCAAGCAGTGATATTAAAATTAAGATACAAATGAAGATAAATCATGGCTAAATACTACTACTACTACTACTACTACTACTACTACTACTACTACTACTACTACTACTACTACTACTACTACTACTACTACTACTACTACTACTACTACTACTACTACTACTGCTGCTATAAATATGCTACTTATATTGACAGGTATAAGTAGTATATGACCCCGACTAAAAGTAGAATACCTATCAAAAGAAGATTGAAAAGATTGAACTGAAGAAAACAGAAAGGGAAACATAAAAGAATTGAGAATCGAGAGAATCATGAATGATGTGAAGGACAACTGATGGAAGATGTGTATGTATGGATCCACTTGGTGGTATTGTTTACTTAAATCTTCGCATTGATATTTAGGACTGCAATTGATCAGATTGTCTCGATATTGCCTTCATTCACAAGCATTCTAAGCAAAGATGGATCATGGCTAGCAGTACAACCCAGGATGCGCGTTTCGTCACAAAGTGAACATCAACTCTGAGATACAGGTACATTCAGCTGACGAGTCTCAAATAAAACGAAACGCACATCCTGAATTCCACTATACTAGCCACTATCCATCTTTGTTTAGAATATTTTATGTATGGTTTACCTCACTGTTACCAATTATTCACAAATATCTAATCTTAATATATATACTGTAATACTTGAACGTGGGTATATTCAACTTGATAAGTTCAGAATTCAGTGAATCATTCATCCTGTATTCTACTACTAACTACTATCCAACTTTAGTCATAAGTACATATTAATGAAGGTAATTACACGTACAATTTTTCCTTAAAAATTTTATTTGAATCCAAAAAATTTATTTATCCTAATTAGCCCACATGGGAAATAATTTCGATGGATAATTTATAATATAAGTAGTATATGAAATGTTTACAGAAATTAATTCAACAATGGGATGAATGAGTAACTATACAAGATGTTATGTATTATTATATCAGACTATACATAAGGGTTCATTTCTCTGGTCAGTTTTATATTCATCTATACATTCAATAAAGGACTGGCTAATTAATCTAAACTTTTTCTCTCTCTCTCTCTCTGTGTGTGTGTGCTTGCATACGTGCATACGTCTGAGTTTGTATTATGTAATAAGAGAAAGAGAAGTTTTAGTCTATCACTTTCAATTTCCATCTTGGGAATTTCAATATTGAAGATATTTTCTTATCTAAATAGTTAACGAATGAATAATTTAATATAAACAAAGTGAGAATTTAATTGTAAGAGCATTTAACTTTTAACTAATTAAGTATGTAGATTTGAACAAATGCAAATGAAAAATAAATAGTGTAGCAGTAGCCTTTGTAATAGTGGACGTCAATATACACAAGGGAAAAAGCAAGATCTTCAAATGCGACACGGAGAACACCAATCCAATCACATTTGATGGAGAAACTCAGGAAGTGGTGGAAACTTTCATGTATCTGGGTAGCATCATCGATGAACGTGGAGGATCCGATGCAGGCGTTAATTCGAGGATCGGCAAAGCAAGAGTAGCATTCTTACAATTGAAGAATATATGGAACTTAAAACAACTATCTGTTAACCAATATCAAATTCAGAATCTTCAATACAATAGTCAAGACATTTGTACTGTAGATAGCTGAAACATGGAGAACTCCCACAACTATCATCAAAATGGTACAAGTATTTATAAATAGTTGTCTACGCAAGATACTCAATATCCATTGGTTGGATGCTATCAGGAATAGCCTTCTGTGAGAGAGAACAGATCGGTTTCGAAATGAAGAGGAAATCAGAAAAAGACGTTGGAAGTGGATAGGAAATACATTGCCGAAATTATCAAACTGCATCATGTGGTAAGCTCTAACTTGGAATCTTGAAGGTAAACAGAAAACAAGAATATCGAAGAACACACTATATCGGGGATTGGAAGCAGATATTAAAAAGATAAATAGCAACTGCAAACAACTAGGAAAGATTGGCCTAGACAAAGTTGTATAGCGAATGCTGTTAGTCGGCCTATGCTCATTCATGAGGAATAACAGGCGTAAGGAAGTCATATATTTCCTCAATACAGGAAGCTAGGTAATATCATTAACTGTCATATATGGAGTGTTACTTAAAGTTGAGTACATAAGTATATACTCAATAGATGAATCATATCATCTTTCTGAAAGTGAGAAATCTAAGAATACGTAGGAAGTGTTTTTTCTGAAAAGCCAGATAATTACATAATTAAATCAAGACTTTTTAGTGTTATGATTATTATAAGACTTGAATATCTTAAAATTTATATAGACTATATTGAAAAGTTTTCATATCGAATAGACCAGCTATCTGTCTACTACATTTGGGATTTCATGAATTCTTCAAATAATGTTAATTTATGGTGGAAATTATGATTGATTTTTGCGGAAAAAACGTCCCCATTAAATCACCTTAATAGGTAATAGAGTAAGTAACAGAAATGAAATGACTTAAAGTAAGATTTAGAAATATTTCTTTCTTAGTTGAATAATCTTGAATATTAGATGGTGGTTGGAGGTAGTCGACAGGAAACCCTGGACCCGGGTGCTCCCTGGCGGATTCGACTCCGTGTCACCCAGCTTCACAGTCAGAGACATTACCACTGAGCTGTCCGGGCCGCGACCGACCTCCTGTAGGACCCAGATGCAATCACAATTGACTGATCACTGGGTGGTGATCAGTGTCATGTGTGTCAAGTACTTATTTAGTGGAGATCGAGTGCTATCGACCATGTTGCAATGTCGCCACCAGTCTAGGTGACTCGACACTGTGTGCACGTGGTAACGGGTTACGTGGTGGCCACATTGCAATATGGTCAATAGCATTCGATCTGCACTAAAAAAGGACTTGACACACATGACATTGATCACCACTCAGTGATCAATCAATTGTAATATTGAAGATATTAGGCGATTAATTTTTAAGCGGTGATTTTAATGAAAAAGAAAATCTATTTAAAAATTAAAATTCATTGATGTTTAGAATTGCATTTGATCAGTCTCTTGTTGGCATGTGTGCATACTGTACACATTGCCTTAATATTGCCTTAGATCATAAGCATTATAATCAAAGATGGATATTGGATAGTAGTGGAATCCAGGATACGCGTTTCATCCTATTTGAGACTCTTCAGTTAGATGTAGCTGCAACCAATTGTTGATATTCACTCCAACCCAGTACCGTTCACTTAAAACGTCATCGTGTTATTCACTTAGCTACTGAGCCGTGATAGTCACCAACTTGTGGCTTAAACTTTTTGTGACATGATGGTAATATCGAAGCAATCCGCATAAGATGTACGTGTGCCAAATAGAGACTGATCAATTCCAGTCTTTAATACCAATAAAAAGAATTAAATAACCAATAAAAATGAATTTGATTCCCCACTGAAAAGTATTCAGTGATATTATGATTAGAGTATTAGAAGATTCCATCTATCATGAACTCTCCTGAAATATTACAGTCTACATTCATATACCACTTATGTAAGATGTAATGTAACAACAGTTCATAGAATACACATACATAAGAAAAATATTGTAAATCAAATACATAAAAGAAAACAAATCACAAATAGAGAAGATTGCGGGGGGGGAGGGTGAAAACAATGAAGGGGAATAATCCTTTACACTTATTAGTTAAACAAAATATTAAAGTAAATCATTGTAAAAACAAAAAAACATAAACATAAACAAAAGTTTGCTAGTCTTGTAACATAACCACATGTTTGACGATCCTATAAACAAAACAACATATGACAGAAGATTTAGAGAAAAAGAAGACCAATGGAATTGTGAATACAAACCTTCAGAAGTTGATATAATATGTTTACTCCCAATGGGATAAGTTGTTACATTGTTGTAAGCAATTGTACACGTACACAAATAAAGATATAAAAAAAGGATAGTTAAACATATATATATATATATAATGCAAATAAGCCTTGAAACCCTTCTCCAATTAAAGTCTTTTTAATAGGTCAGTTTGATTTCAACTCGAGAATTGAGAGAATAATATCAGTGCACATCTTCAATTTGCCAGTAAACGATATACATATTTGTACATAATAGTAGTATATTATTTTGTGTAACAAGTAACAAGTAGCAGATTTATAGTGAATAATAATAACAACAAAATCTCATTGTATTTAGAGTTGTAACAATGATCAAACAATCAGTATAGGTTTATGGAGATTGTTGAGTTTAAATTGATATCATGAGCGGATTAATGTTAGATTACCATTGAAAACATGGAAGCCCTGGACGACCGTTTCGTTTGAGGTCAAAGGTCTTGGGTTCGAGTCCTGCGTGCGAGATCGTAAATATGCACTGTTGAGGAGTCCCAGTCTTTCAACTGTGGTCTAACATTGATGTATTCGTGATATCAATCTAAATTACGAAATAAATTTAGACCATAAACCAATCTAAGTTGGACAACCATTGCAAACCTAGAATCACTGGATGACCGTTTCATCCTAGTATTGAACCGCTTACATCTGTAAAAAATTATAATGTAATCACTAATGAATAGCTTCGAGAGAGAAAACCTCTTGAATTCTAGTGAAGAGTCCTCACCAATGGAGTTTAACCGCATTGGGTGTGATCAAATTACTTACCGAAGACAATGAAAGATAATCGCGCAATAGTGTAGACTGATTGAAGTCAAACTTATACAACATTGAATTCCGGCTCAGTGGCCTAAAGGCTAAGTATTCGGACACGAAATTAAATGTCATTAGTTCTCCCCTTTTTGTGTGATCATGGATCCATACCACCGAAGAGTTCCATACCAGGATGAAACAACTTTTTTCAATACTTCCCCCTTTTTAATGATGATCTAGCTAAAATCAATTTGTGACTTAAGCAATCAAAGAACACAATTAATAATATACTGAAAAATGAAACCAAGTTCTACCCATCTCTCTCTCCCTGAGTTCAGTCAATCAGTCAGTCATTAACAGCGTGTAACTTCGTACGTATGTACATTAGATCAAGTTGCCATACCTCATTAGCACAACAGAGGTGCAGTTATCGATTCAAATCCCGTAGTGGTAGAGGTAGTAACAGTATAAGCAGTAATCGGAAACATTAAAGATTGAAGATGTTATTCAAAGAGTATAATACAGTGAAATAAATTTGGAAAGAGAAAAAAGAAAGGGACATGAAGA